AATTAGTTCATGAATTCACTTCAACAATTTTGTTTTATGTAATGAACTTCAAGCTTTTGAATTTTTACAAGGTACTATTCCTCTTCTGACTCATGTTAATTTAATGTTTGTGATAAGTAGCATTTTATCAAATAATTACTTATATAGCGTTTACACTTCTTCTCAATTTAAAACATGTCAATTTAGTCCATGTTCATATTTTTTTTAGTGTTAATTAGAGTTAAATCTTCAATTCTATAGTAGTTTAATTTCATATTTGTCTATAAGTAACAGTTTAATCTAACAAGGAACATGCTTAGTTTAATTTGAATGCATTTTTTTTATTTGCAAATTTATTTGAATTTGCATGTCATTTAACTCATTTAGGATCTATTAACTTTGATTTACGGTAGTGTTTAAGTCATTGAAATTGTCTAAAGCAGATTTAGTAACCAATATTACAGAAAAGCATCCCTCCCTTTTACAAATCGTCTGTAGGCGTAGATTTTAATTTTAAACTAATGTTCTTCTTACCATCCACAAGGAGGTTGACCGTGAGGAAGGAGAGGATCGTTGGAAAAATCCTTTTCTCTTACTTTTAGCAAAGTAAGTGACACGTCTGCATTTAGATTCCGCACATGCAAAACCATCAGAGGATTTTTTAGGAAACAATATATAAAACTAATGATTAAATTGTAATTTTAAATCAATGTTCTTCCTGCCATCCACAAGGAGGCTGACTGTGAGAAAGGAAAGGATCATTGGGACAATACTTTTCTCTTACTTTTAACAAAGTAAGTGACACGTCTGTATCTAGATTCTGCACATGCGAAACCATTAAAGGATTTTTTAGAAAACAATATATAAAACTAATGATGCAATATATAAAATGAATGGTCTTTTCCTATTCTCAAATTTCTCCAGCCAACTTAGAGTTCGATTGGAGTGAGGCTCATAACCAATTTAGCCTAGTGGTTCTTCTTTGTTCCCTTCATCATCACTTCCCTATTGACTATTGAGGCTGGACTCGGTCTCAATCTCTAGTACTTGCATAAAAAGGCAGATCCTCACCCTAATAATTGAGTCCCATTAAGGATAAATATAAATTTTTAACTTCTAATAATTGTGTTTTTATGAAATTTTTTAATTTTTTAAAAAATTATAATAGAAGAATGTGAAAAAATTAAAATGAGATGGAGAGAATAACAATCTTCTTAAAATAAGTGTAAAATAGAAATAAACGTTTAAATTGCCTTCTTAAAAATGAAAAATGGACAATTAAGGCTCTATTTAGTTTAGTTTTAATTTTGAGTGTTGAGTTTTTATATTTTATATATTTAGTAATTATTATTATATTTAAAAATCAAATTTTAGCATAAAAGTTTAAATTTATTAAATTTAATTTAAATATAATATTAATTACTAAATATTAAAAAAAAAA